AGTTCTCTGCTCATCAAACTTCGAAAGTTTCTGAAGTTCTCTATTGACTGTTTCAAGTGGTGTATATTCCAGAATTAGGTAGACTCTGGTGGCATCATGGAAATAACCATAGAGTCTGATTATATCAGGATGTTGAAGGTAGGACTGTATTTCTACTTCTCTTCTGAGTTGATGCTCCAATCCTGCTTTGTCCAGCTGAACTTTAAATAACACTTTAAGAGCCAGAATAAACTTGCTTTGTTTTTCTCTTGCCAAATAAACATTACCAAACTTTCCTTTACCCAGAAGGTGACCAATTTCAAAGTCTTCCAAAGCCCATTGCCTCTTTTTTGATTCTTCATTTTTCTGTTTTGATGCCAGTTCCTCTTCAGGATTATTTTCAGGTGCCGACAGCGGGGGCTGCTTGCTCTTTTGGGTGTTATTCAGTGGCCTGGAGACAGCATGAGGTACACTGGTTGCCTGCAATTGCTTCTGCTTCTGCTTCTGAACTGGCTTGTGACTGGAGACAAGCTTTTGTGCTTGCAAAGGAACACGCTGGGAAGAATCTGAAGGACACAAGACCCACTGAGCCTGGCCACTATTTGCAGGTAATGGATTCTGACAAGGAAATTGCTGAGTCACGAGAACATGTTTTGGACCTCCAACTGGAGATGTAGCCTTAACAGGCCCTGAAATGTAGTTTTCTTTAGATTGGTCCATGATGCCTGTGACCCTAGGACCTCAGTCTTCCAAGAGCTCAGCCCAATAAAAGTACTTTTAAACCAACTGATACACCTCTATAATTCACAAGTAATTGGGGTGTTTTATGTTTTTACATATCCTCTAGAGATGAGCTGGGTTAAGAAATTAAAACTATATCAGCTAAAAAAATTTAAGATGATCTCATGATTTCTGCTTCCCAATAAACATTTATAACATTAATAAATAAAGTGAAGAAAAGCAAAGGCAAATACCATCAGCAGTTTAAGTCAGGTCCCATTTACCTGCTCTGCTAATTTCATTTTTTATCTGTAAAATTTCACTGTACAAAAGTTTACGTTCAAAACTCTTTATATTACGGCTTGGCCTAGCCTATCTTAAAAGTGCTCAGAACACTTACATTAGCCTATAGTTGGGCAAAATCTTCTAACACAAAGTCTATTTTATAAGGAAGTGTTGAAAATACCTCATGTAATTTCTTGAATACTGTACACTGTAGAGTACAGTCTCTCATATTTGCTGCTGCTACCCAGCATCACAAAAGAGTATCTTACCCATTGTATCACTAGCTCTGGAAAAGATCGAGGTGCAAAACTTGAAGTATGGTTTCTATAAAGTACACATTGCTTTCACATTACTGTAAAGCTAAAAAATTGGAAGCCAAACCATCATAAGTGTGAGATCATCTGTACAGGTTTTGCAAAGGGCCTCACTGGTGAAGAGGTCCATTCTGTTCATTTTCCACATGAATTGATCATAGCCACAATAATATCAACATACACAAACTCAAGAATTTGATTTAGAAGAGTAGTACATTAAACCGTATTTGTAAATCTATAGGTATAGTGCAAATTAATCTAGATGTTTGGGGTATATTTATATCCCCAACTGCCTGTGTAAGTTGGACACATATTCAATCTGTATGTACCTGAGTTTTAGCACCTATAATTGTGCCATACTATATTATAGCCATTAGCTACATTTGGCTACTTAAATTTAAATTAATTAAAATTAACTTGAATTTAAAAAATTCAGTTCCTCAGTTGCACTGGCCACATTTCAAAAGCTCAATAAACACATGTGCCTACAGGTTACCATACTGGACAGTATAGATATAATGATGAAAATAAACAGGATGATATGACGGACAATAACAAGTGGGAACAAGGGGGTTGTATTGACTACTTTAGATCAGGTGGTCAGAAAAGGCTGCCCTGAGTTGACATTTGAGTTGAGACTTGAATGACAAGATGCAACTAGCATGCAAAGATCTGCAAAAAGCATCCAAGGCATAGACAACAGTGAGGGCAAAAACCTCAGCCACAAATGTGGTTGGCTGGTTTAACAACAAAAAAGAGTGTCTGAAGCATAAGAAATAAGGGGAGAGGTGTATAAGGTCCAAGAAATAGCAGGAAGCAGAGTCTCAAGGGCCTTATACACCATTTAACAACTTTGGATTTTATGTTAAGTGCAGTTAAAAACCATACAGGGTTATAAACAGGGCAATGTTAGGCTGGGTGCGGTGGCTCATGACTGTAATCCCAGCACTTTGGGAGGCTGAGGCAGGTGGATCACAAGGTCAGGAGTTCAAGACCAGCCTGGCCAACATAGTGAAACCCCATCTCTACTAAAAATACAAATATTAGCCAGGCATGGTGGCGCATGCCTGTAGTCCCAGCCACTTGGGAGGCTGAGGCAGAAGAATTGCTTGAACCCGGGAGGTGGAGGTTGCAGTGAGCCAAGATCATGCCACCGCACTCCAGCTTGGGCAACAGAGTGAGACCTCATATCAAAACAAAAAGAAAAGAAAAAAGGCAATGTTGTGATCTAAATTATGTCTTAAAAGCTCACTCTACCTACTGTTGAGAATTATTATGGGAAACCAAGAGTGAAAGCAGGAAGATCTGCTAGAAGAAGACACATATCATATCATAGCCCAGGTTGAGAAAAGATCATGGCCTAGACCAGGAGAGTGGTAGAGGGATAAAGAAAATCTGTTCCTTTTTTCTACATTCCCTATCTACAATCCTGCATCTGCTATCCTTCACAGTCAAGCTCCTTGAAATAGTATACTTCACTTTTTAACCCCTTATCCTATAAATATGCTTTCTGCCTCCACTATCCTACTGAAACTGTCCTAAGGTCCAAGTTACTTCCACCTTCCCAAAACCAATGAGCACTTTTCTATCCTTTTCTTACCTGACCTCTGCTGCATTTGCAAAACTGCTGACTATTCCTCACCTTCATCAAGTTCTCGCCTTCCTCAGCTCCAAGGGCCTTACTCTCACCTGATTTTCCTCTTTCTTTTACTCCTTCTCAGTCTTCTTCCCAGTAACCTCTACTTGACTTTTAAACACCAGTGCTCCTCTAAGTTTACAGCTTTAGTACTCAGTGCATTTCACAACATACATAATCCTTGAGACTGAATTTACAGTTTTTGCTGTTAGCTCCCCAATTAACGTCTCTGGCCCAGTACTCCCTACTGTTTAGACTATCTATATCTGGTGTTCAACCAGATGTCCTTACTTGGACATACCGTAAACATTTAAAATGCGAAAGGTTGAAAATCTGTATCCTTTATTCTCTTATTATATACACTTGTCCAAACCACAAGCCAAAGACTTCCTAAACTCCCCCTCACTTACTAGTTACAATGCCCATCACCAGACCTTCAGAAGGTCCAGCAGATTCTAACTCCTTTATGTCTTTCTAATCTAGTCCTTCATCTTCATCCTGCTAAGGTTCTTAATTCAAGCTCATATCATTTCTTGCTTGGATTACTCGAAGAGCTTCCCGATCCATTTCCCTTCTTCCAATCTCTCCTCCACTTTGCTACCAGAGCACATTACCGGTCTTCAACAAACGTTGTTGATTACATTAAGTACAAATCTGACAATGTCATTTCTCTACTTAAACTTTCAGAGAATCGCCACAACTTTCACAAGGCTTCTCATGGTCTAGCTCCTTATCACTATTACTGCCTCATTGCCCCAATTCTTCCTCTCCCATCCTCCTCTCTAGCCACTCAGCTTTTCTTAGTTCTCTAAATACCATGCCATTTCAGTCCTTCCTCTGCACATGCTATTACCGCTCCTTTACTCCTCTAACTAGTACTTCAAAGGTAGGCTTAAGTATCACCACTTGAAGAAAATGCCTCACATCTATCTCAATCACATTGAAGGGAAGTTAGTGATTTGTCTGTAAACCATAAGTTCCTAGAGGCAGGGTCCACCAACCTTATTTGGTTTGTAGCATCAATGACTGGCACAGAGTATGTAATCATTCACAGATGGGTTTGATTTGATATCTTCTAATTTTTTTTTTTAAAGGGAGAAGAGCTTAGTGGGCCTTATATCACCGTTCCGGCATAGCACAGAGTGAGAACGCTGTACTACAAAGCCAAATGTGCTTCATGTTGGAAATGCAAAAATAAAATAAAATAAAATAATACACAAGGCACACCCTTTCAAAAGATGAAATGTAGGAAATTCTGAGAGCCTATGTAGTATCTAAGAAACCAGCCTTGGAACTTTATACTACGTGGGGAAAGGCTTATTTAACACTTTGATGATAAAAATAGGTGGAAGGCTTCTCATCCCAATAAAGCAAATTAACCTTTCTTGGCTATGTCACTGTAATTTTAGTTCCTAATGTAGATTCTCGTTCACTTCCCGACAGGTTATTTTCCTTCTTTGAGAGACTCTTACCACCTTAAGAGTCACTCATTTGTCAGTCAGCCATTTGTTCTCAAAATCTGAATCGGGGAAACGCGGATGAAAGAAGGGAGAGTGTAGGGGGATGATCAACACTTTCGGAACGGGAGGTGGCAGAAGGCCACAGTCCCTGGGATGGAAGAGTGGGCGCTGGGGCAATACCAGAGTGGAGCGCTGACATGTGGCAAGGAACGGGGAGGATGCGATCACGGAGCAGGCAACATGAAACAAGGGACGACCCCAGGCTGAAGATGGGAGACGGAGAAGATACTCAGAGAGAAAGCTAGGAATGTGGGGGGAGGGGGGAGGGAGGAAGTGGTGATAGGCAGAGGCGAGAGGAAACGAGACGCAGTTTTGGGCCAGGGATCAGAGGGGCTGAGGAGAATAGCTGGGTGGAGAGAAAGACAACACAAATGGGGCTTCAGGACGAGGTGGGCAGGGGGTCATCCCGGAACAGAGAGGAGGCACGGGGAGAACTGGGGGTCCAGAGGGCAGAGGCAGGAGGCGCAGAGCGAGTAGGAGACCCGAACCCGCCGAGCAGAGGCCGCGGGTGACGGGGGAAGGAACGGCGAGGAGTGAGGCACTTACTGGGGTCCCTCCGCAAGGCGCCGCTGGGGATCTCCTCCCGCAGGTGAGGAAAGAGGAAGTCCCGGGCGGCCTGGAGGTCCTGGAAGTAGCAGAACTGGACAATGGAGCAGGCCATGGCTCCGGGGAACCCCACTACGGCACTCACCTTACCTCACCACGCCCTGCCCCCTCCACCCCACTGCGGCCGCCGCCGAGCCCCAATAGCTCTAGCCAAGCAGAAGGCGGAGAAACCAAACCGGAAGCTGTCACTGACACGGGTCCGCTGTCTCGGAGTACTGCGCAGGCGCAGGCTTGCCCAGGCGCCTAGGGAGGGCTGGCCCGGGTCACGTGACTAGGGCGCCGCTGCTGCAGGTGGAGCCAAAGTCTACGTGGAGGCTTGGGGCAGATTTTCAGTCCCAGTTCTGCGTCTACACCAAGGAATGAACCCTTTCATTCATTCTGGCTTTTAGCCAGAGGTGTTCTAATTGGACTTGTCCGCGCAGGCCTTTGACTCATTCAACCAATCTTATTGATGCCCTAATATTGGCACGATCTTGATGTTTCACAGAAAATAATTCGTTTTAAACTAGTGGCAGGCCAGTGGGGGACTGTATCCTGCAAGAGTCGGATTTTGAAAAGATTAATTGCTCTTCCGGAGATTAGCCCCGTCAAGGCTGGCTTTAAATGCTCCTGCTATAAATTTCCATAGTACTATGCAAGCCCAATATAGTACGTGTTAAAGTGTATTATACTCTTATGTTTTCATTATTCATTTGGTTTTTCATTCATGCATTCATCCATCCATTCAACAAATATTTGTTAGTCTTTTAAATGCCAGCCACGCAGGGTGCTGAGCATTAGAGAACAAAAGAGAAGAAACACCTTTTCCCAGAAAGTTAGAATTCTAGTGACTGATACAGGCAGTAAGAAATTAATTACAGTAGTTCACTTTATTCCAAGGGTATATGTTCTAAGACCCCCAGTGGATGATTGAAACCATGGATAGTACTGAAACCTATGTATGTGTGTTATATTTTTACCTGTACATACATATGATAAAGTTCAATTTATAAATTAGGCACAGTGAAATATTAACAATAACTAATAATTAAAATGAATAATGTGGAAAATGAACCCATGGATAAAAGGGGGGACTACTGTACTCAACTATTTAACTGAAATTGTGATCATGCTAGTAAGTGCTTCATAAATATTTGCTGAAGAAATAAATGGAATGTGTACATAAAGTAAATAGAATAACCTGTTTCTTTTACAAAGCACTGTTTTTGAAAGTACTTTACATTGTCCATTTGGAAAGTCACAAATACCATCTAAAAATAGTGTGTCTTATCTCATTTTTTAAATGAAGAAATTGAGTCATCTCTGAGCAGACTTTATTTTTCCAAAAAGTAAAAACAAAAAAATATATTTTAATGTGAGCACAAAGACCTGTAGGCACTTACACATTCCCCAAAGGAAACTTAAAGAGGCCATCCACTTTGTATGAGAAAATGGCACAGGAATAAATAGAAAGCAAGTGGATGGGGTCCAGAGCATCCATTTCTGTCTGTCCTGTGGACATATACACTTAGTCCTAATAATATAACAACTATAATTTAGTGCCTAGGTTCCTACTCCATTATTTCCTACTTCTAGAGTAGGATGCTCTTCACAAAATAGGGCAGGCAATTTCTATGTTATCAGGTTAACAGGAATCAGTTCTTCACCTATAAAAGGCAGTTGAATCAGACATGCTGTAAGGTCCCTTTAAGCATCAGGGACCTATACTTCTGTAATCAAAGCTTTCAGAAAAGGCAAGCTGCCGGTGCTCCCTTCTTCCATCTGAAGAAATGCAATGTTTCCTCAGATCATCACTAACTAGAATAATCCAGCCCTGATATGATTATTCCCTAAAGTCCAGCACCAATCCCAAACTAACCTAAAATTTAAATTTAGATTCTTAGTGTTACTGGATGAATAACGAACACATGACTCTTTCTGGAAGAGGACTGTCATTCCTTGAAAACCATTCAAGTTCCTATTCAGGTAAATGCATTTTATGGAAGTAACCGCTGTTGGCTGATTCTGCTGGCCTTTGTTCTGCCCTGAGGCATTCATATGTCTCCTGTGGTGGTCATTGAATTTCATTACTGTGTTGGCTCAGTTTTAATGGTGAAGTCCCTGACTTCCTTCCAAGTACTGTTGAAAGGGTTCATTCATGGATGTTTTTAAGGACTTTAGATACCCTTCACAGAAATTACAACACATTCATGAACTGAACTCTTCCCCCAGGAAGTTGTAACGCTGCAGGAGAGATGCCTCTGGAGTTCTGCTACCATGGTTTCTGTAGCATGTGGGAGGATTGCATCAGACAGTGAATATCACTTATTCCACAGTCATAAGAAAGCACATTGCGAAAATGTGCAGGCCTTATATATCCCAGCATTGACAGTGTCTTTCTGAGGTCTGGGTTCAGGAGGTAGGAAAAGCACTGTGACCAAAATAACAGCAGGATGAGTCCAGGTACTAATGTGAACTTCCTCCATTATCCATTAGTGTGAGTCAGAGCACTGATGACTGCTGTTAAGAGAGAGATGTGTGCTCATTTTCTCTTGCCACCACCATGTAAGAAGAGCCTTTCATCTCCTACCATGATTCCGAGGCCTCCCCAGATATGTGGAACTAGTGATACAGAGATGTGACCCAACATGTCTACCTACAGGGAGGAGGTGTGGTTTTTACTGGAATATACTGGCAAGCAAAAGTTCTCTCCTTTTGGCTTTCTCCCTGCTTCTGAAACACATTCCTTTCCAGGAATGCGTGCTTTCTGAGGTAGACAAAAGAAGAATTGTTCAAGTTAATAAAAAGGTCGAGGGGTGGCGCCAAGATGGCCAAATAGGAACAGCTCCAGTCTGCAGCAACCAGCGTGAACAACACAGAAGGCAGGTGATTTCTACATTTCCAACTGAGGTACCGGGTTCATCTCACTGGGGCTTGCCAGACAAGTGGGTGCAGCCCACGGAGCAGGGCAGGGCATCGCCTTACCTGGGAAGCCAAGGGATCAGGGAATTCCCTTTCCTAGCAAACGGAAGCCGTGACAGACAGCACCTGGAAAATCGGGACACTCCCACCCTAATACATCGCTTTTCCAACAGGCTAAAGAAGAATTGTTCAAGTTAATAAAAAGGTCGAGGGGTGGCGCCAAGACGGCCGAATAGGAACAGCTCCAGTCTGCAGCTCCCAGCATTAACAACGCAGAAGACGGGTGATTTCTACATTTCCAACTGAGGTACCAGGTTCATCTCACTGGGGCTTGCCAGAGAAGTGGGTGCAGCCCACGGAGCAGAGCAGGGCATGGCCTCACCCACCTAATTGGGGAATTCCCTTTCCTAGTAAAGGGAAGCCATGACAGCACCTGAAAAATTGGGACACTCCCACCCTAATACATCGCTCTTCCAATGACCTTAGCAAAAGGCACACCAAGTGATTATATCCCGCGCCTGGGTCGGAGGGTCCCACACCCATGGAGCCTCGCTCACTGCTAGCACAGCAGTCTGAGATCGAAGAGGGAGGCTGGGGAAGGGGCATCCACCATTCCACCATTGCTGAGGCTTGAGTAGGTAAACAAAGCAGCTGGGAAGCTCGGACTGGGTGGAGCCCACCTCAGCTCAAGGAGGCCTGCCTGCCTCTGTAGACGCCACCTCTAGGGGCAGGGCACAGCTGAACAAAAGGCAGCAGAAACTTCTGCAGATTTAAATGTCCCTGTCTGACAGCTTTGAAGAGAGTAGTGGGACAGACTGCCTCCTCAAGTGGGTCCTTGACCCCCGAGTAGCCTAACTTGGAGGCATCTCCCAGTAGGGGGGTGACTGACACCTCGTAAGGCCAGGTGCCCCTCTGAGATGAAGCTTCCAGAGGAAGGAACAGGCAGCAACATTTGCTCTTCTGCAGCCTCCAATGGTGATACCCACGCAGACAGGGTCTGGAGTTGACCTCCAGCAAACTCTGACAGACCTGCAGCTGAGGGTCCTGACTGTCAAAAGGAAAACTAACAAACAGAAAGGACATCCACACCAAAACCCCGTCTGTACGTCACCATCATCAAAGACCAAAGGTAGATAAAACCACAAAGATGGGGAGAAACCAGAGTGGAAAAGCTGAAAATTCTGAAAATCAGAGTGCCCTTTTCCTCCAAAGGAACTCAGCTCCTTGCCAGCAATGGAACAAAACTGGATGGAGAAATACTTTCACAGTCGAGAGAAGAAGGCTTCAGATGATCGGTAATAACAAACTTCTCTGAGCTAAAGGAGGATGTTTGAACCCATCGCAAAGAAGTGAAAAACCTTGAAAAAAGAGTAGACAAATGGTTAAATAGAATAAACAGTGTAGAGAAGTCCTTAAATGACCTGATGGAGCTGAAAACCATAGCACGAGAAGTATGTGACGCATGCACAAGCTTCAGTAGCAGATTTGATCAAATGGAAGAAAGGGTATCAGTGATTGAAGATCAAATGAATGAAATGAAGTGAGAAGACAAGTTTAGTGAAAAAAGAGTAAAAAAAAAAAATGAACAAAGCCTCCAAGAAATATGGGACTATGTGAAAAGACCAAATCTGCGTCAGATTTGTGTACCTGAAAGTGAAGGAGAGAATGGAACCAAATTGGAAAACACTCTTCAGGACATTATCCAGGAGAACTTCCCCAACCTAGCAAGGCAGGCCAATATTCAAATTCTGGAAATGCAGAGAATACAACAAAGATACTCCTCGAGAAGAGCAACTCCAAGACACGTAATTGTCAGATTCACCAAAGTTGAAATAAAGGAAAAAATGTTAAGGGCAGCCAGAGAAAAAGGTAGGGTTACCCACAAAGGGAAGCCCATCAGACTAACAGTGGATCTCTCGGCAGAAACTCTACAAGGCAGGAAAGAGTGGGGGCCAATATTCAACATTCTTAAAGAAAATAATTTTCAACCCAGAATTTCATATCCAGCCAAACTAAGCTTCATCAGTGATGGAGAAATAAGATACTTTATGGACAAACAAATGCTGAGAGATTTTGTTACCACCAGGCCTGCCCTACAAGAGCTCCTGAAGGAAGCATTAAACATGAAAAGGAACAACCAGTACCAGCCACTGCAAAAACATGCCAAATAAGACCATCGATACTAAGAAGAAACTGCATCAAATATTGAGCAAAATAACCAGCTAACATCATAATGACAGGATCAAATTCACACATAACAATATTAACCTTAAATGTAAATGGACTAAATGCTCCAAATAAAAAACACAAAATGGCAAATTGGATAAAGAGTCAAGACCC